AAGGGGGAGAAAGGGGGGGGGAAAAAAAGAGTGGGGGGGGGGGGGGGGGGAATTCCACTTGAAGGTTTGTTTTTAGTAGGGGTGGTGGGGTCTGTGCAGGTTTTTGTTTATCAAGGTCATGGAACGGCTAGTAGTTCACATTCAAATAGACTTGTTTTGTAAAGTGAAGATGGCTTCCTCCATTCTGCTGAGCATTAGGAACATTCACCAGCATTTGTAGCCCCAAGGGTAACTTGTCGCCTTAATCCAACCATTATGAAATGTCAAGGCAGATGTTGATTGTCCAAGAATGTGTATCTTTAGTATCTACTACTTCTGTCACTGGGTAGTTTTTCCATGGACTTGGAGGGAGACGCAACCATGAACAGCTGTAATTTTAATCATAACTGCATAGCTAATAATTTGCTGTGCTTGTCAAGGTGAATGGCCAAGTGTTTGATAAAGGTTCGGTCTATCCTGTTTTTGAATTCTTGCAAACATAGGTGAAGGATTTTCTGGCCTTATAAATTGTGTTCTTGTGTTTAATAGAAATATGCAAAATTAAAAATGTGCTTCTATTTGGGTAGAGAGCGGTTTGTGGTGTAAAATCGCATTGTTTATAGTGAGGTCAGCCATGATTAGATGTGGAAGGCTAAGCTGATTTCTCTTGTTGCTCACAGGATCGATATGATGAGGAGATTGAGGTATACAAACACCACTTGGAACAGATGTACAAACTGTGCCGGCCATGCCAGACCGCTGTAGAATTTTATATCAAGCACCAAAACCGGCAGCTAAGGGCGATCATGCTGAACCACCAGCTAAAACGGAGGGAAGTGGACAAAAGTTACGTACAGGTACGCAGAAAAGAGATGTTACTTGTAAAGTAATAATATAAACCTTTTGGAAACCCAAAGAATACAAGCTATATCGCCACACTTACAACATGGGATCGCTTACATAAAGCTCATGACTGGCCATACAATTCAGTTTTATTACCATTAACGGGCACGGATTTCTTCCCTCCCGGAAATAATGAATGTACCCCTACGTCTCTTGTCCCTCCTTTTACCTTGGATATCGTATGTAATGTGATTGTCTTAATGTATGCTTACTGTATTGTATGTGTGTTTTTTGTTATATTTTGAAAATCTTTAATAAACATTTTAATATGAAAAAAAAAAAAGAATACAAGCTATAGGTGTTTGCAGAAGGCATGCTGTTATTTCTCTCGGAACCACATATTACTCTCCCAAATATAATGAAAGACTTTGGGCAATCCCAACATCTTTCTGGCTTGCCAGTTAGCTACTCGACGTCTCCATGGCACTATGCCAATTGGACTTCCCCTTTACATGGAAAAGGGAGTAATAACACCTCTAGGGATTCAGGTGCGGACTAAACTTTCGCAATTGTATGCCCGTAACTACCATCCACTTTTCAACACGATCTTAAGAGTTGGGATAAGCCCTGCTACTTCTGATTCTGGAGAGCTGCCACTTTAAAGATGAACATGCTCCCATGTATCCTCTATGCAAACAATTCTGATCTTCTTACCCACTCCCTTTTTCCAGTCACTCTCTGGAAACAGCAAAACATTCCCAGCACACTCGCCAGCCTGCAAAAAAAAAAAACCTCTTAATTACTAAGGTTACAAACAGAGGTCTGCAGAATTTGTGGAAGCCACATTGCGTCGTCAAGGCCCCTCTCTGTAGTGTGGTCCTAACTCTAATCTGTGAGAGCCTCCATTTTGGAGCATATATAGCAAAGGATGAATTTCCCTGGAAAGGCTCCTCAACGAGAATTAGTTTTGCCCACTTGATGCTGCCCTAAAATAAGGTAGTATTGGTCTTCCTGACCTTGTAAAATATGTTTTTGGGTTTGTCAGTTCAATACAATAGTAGACTGGCATGTCCTGTGTTCCTTTTTAAAGAAGATTTTTCTAGAGTAGTTTTTCATGGATTCCCCTTCTATTCCGCCCAAATGCCCAGAGTAATAACTTACTCATGGGATACACCTTCTGTAGCTTCCTTCAAATTTTCAAAATGCTGTCCCTTTCCTCCACCCTGGGCTCATTGACTCCTATATGTCTAAACCCGGACTTCCCATCTGGCATGTTTAGAAACTTTACTGGCCACTTCCTAAAATGTTGGCAGGATACTTTTGAGGCCATAGCAACCTACTTCCGCAATCCCAAACAAAACAATTACCATTATGGAACTACCTAAAATATTAGACACTTCCCCTCAGGTAAATCTCTGTAAGCAAGCAGATCTACCTCATTGGAGACCCTGTGTCACATGGAAAACCCCCAGAGACTTATTTCTCCAATTTACCTGGGCTTGTTCCCTTGTGTTGAACAGGCCTCTTCCTACCCCAGTCCTATCTTCCTCCTCTTACCTTCTAGTGTCACTTCTCTCTTCCTTACTATTTTTAGCCCAGTTAGTCTGAGCATTGAAGGTAATAGGATAATTATCTTTTGTACTCTCTGGTCCCACAGGATGGTGCAAAAGCTTCCGGTCTGGCTGCCAAATTGCAGACAACTTCTAGACCGTAGCTCTAACTTGATTTCCAAGCTACTCGGAGGCTTTTGCCAAAGTCATTCCGACCTGCCCTTGATTGCCCTGCACTGACAAGCCTGAACAAACCATAATGTGCAGTAGCTGGTCACATTACATTTTATACGCTCATGCATATACACAGCCAACCTCCTCATCCGCAGTACAGGATCTTACTCACGCTTTTCTATTAATTTCTTCCTTGTCTAGATGTTAATATGTGATTTTGTTTATACTTCCTTTTTTTTTTCTCATATGCCAATAACTGCTGGGACTTTGGATGTGTCGGATTATTTATTTTTAAAGGTTGCTTACATGTATAAAAATGTTGGAACCCTCTCCATAAATGACAGGTTGACCCAGGAAAACAACCCGTACATTAGTGCTGGAGGGCAATGAAACAGTGCTACTTTTTGAGCTTGGGCTGGCTATCAAGGAACTGGCCTGCACACTGAATGACATAGAAGACAGCTGGGGCAAAACAAACTGTGCATTCAAGTGGCAGAGTGTAATTGCTTGACCTTCGATTTATATTGCAGACCCCCAGCTCTGATATATGTGCCGGATAATCGTTCAGTAGCCAGGCAATCTCACTGGCTGGTTAGCCTACCTTCATTATACCTTATTGTCTTCTGCAAGCATGGTGCCTCCTAAAATGGTAAAGGAAGTTTTTAAACCTTGCACTGTTTATGAGAAGGTGCCCTCTCCTCAAAATATTAGATTTGGTTGTGGACAATCTTTGTCAGAATACCGATTGGTAATTGAATGCCTTCTCCTGTGTCTTTCAGAGCTTTGCCAGTGCCTCGTGGACGCGGGTTCCTGTGCCAGTCATTGTCTTGCGGTTTCTGGCATTCCTCAGCTGCATGTTCCTGGTGTCCGTGGCCTGCTTGGGTTCTAGGGATCTCTTCCCTCCATCCTTGACGAAAACATCCAGCTTCGAATCGCAGATCAGTAACACCTCTGAGCCAGATGCGAGACAGCCCACTCTCTGGGAGGAGGTCCTCGATCTTCTTCCCGAGCACACACTGGAGAGCATTAACGATGCCTGGCATTTTGGACGAAACCATCAAATTGGCTTAGTGGTCTTGGGTCTCTTGGCTTGTGTCTTCGCCATGGTTTTAGCTGGTCGAATCAGGTCAGTATTTGAGGTTTTTTCCCAACTTTCACTAAATTTCAGGTATGTTTAGTAGTTAGAGAAAGAGAGCAGTCTAAATTCTTATTTGCTTCATTACATGTATATGTAAATAAGGCAACTTTTGGTGCTTGCAGGCACTTTTGTTAGTGCTCAGGTAGCTTTCATTGACAGTGGGGAGTCCCCTTGATCCCAGCTACAAATGGGCTTTGACCTCCAGCTCTAAATTCGGCCTTTGATTTCTTATATTTAACAATCCAGTACCGGCTTTGCATTGACCAGTAAAGGCCGTTGCTTTGACCTGTTGTCATTCCAAGCCCCTTTAATATTTCTGTATGCAAATTTGTTGTACTTGCCTATGCACTCTTATACTTTTTTTTCCCCCCTGGAATGCAATCATAACTGTTGTAAATGGGAAATGGAGGGGCCATTGCTTGTTTTTGATTAAAGAATTCCTCCTCCATCTTCTGACGACCTTTCACTTGCTATGACCGTTTTGTCAGGACAGGAAGTGAGGGAGAAATGTCCCATCGGAGACACGGCTATAAACAGATTGTAAACCTTCTCTCTTTGATCTGAAACTTAAAAATTGTTCTGGCTTGGGTTGGACTTGACAGGGGAAATTGGAGCACAGCGAGGTTGCTGTACTCTGTCAGGAAGGTTAGTTGAAGACTTTTATGACTATGTACATGTCGGGTCTTCAATTCACTTTCACACTTAAAGCCTCTAAGTAGCTATTTTCCAGTCTGCTGTTATAGAAATACGAAATCTAATGCATCTTATTTTATTTTTTTTAAGGATGCGGCGAGTTGACGCTTGTGCGTCCTTCTTGTGGACCCTGGTGACGGGCATCTACCTATCAGAAACCTACCTTTTGAGGGAATCTCCAAGCTGGCTCGACACCGCCAAGCTGGGTACAACCTCCTTGTGCTGCCTTGTCGGTTTTGCCTCTGCGGTGGCCACACGGAAAGCAACAAGTCAACGGAGACAGCGGCCACGAAGGTCAGAGCAAGAACAGTGAACCAATGGGACCTGAAAATCACTCTTCCCACTGTCAGCTGTTCATTGTACATCTGTCCGCTCCTTCTCTCCTCTCTCCCGTCCATCACTGTCCTCCAGTCATCTCTGTGCTGTTCAGTATTAGAAGGAGCCAAACTCTTCAGTGCCATTTTTTGTGGTTTTGTGCTAGGTTGGTTCTCTGAACTTCCTGGTTTCTCCTTATTGGTTGCCTGAATCGGCTATAGCCAGTAAAAGGACGGCCCTTAACAGGAGATCCTTCATTGGGTGTTCACCTTAAAGGGTTTGTTCACCTTCAGGTTATCTTTGATGGCTTGTTTTTGCTAATGTTACCTTCTGTCGTAGCTTCCTTCGTTGTTCTTTTTAACTATACATTTTTCTATTTTTAGTTACCATGGTTTAGTACCACTGCCCTGAAATATATATCTTAGCTCTGGTGTACTCTGCAAGTAGGATTCTTTTGAACCCAAAGCACAGCTCCATGTCGTATTCAGGAACTTTGAAACCTAATGGAAAACTTTTCCAGGGAATAGACAGTCAAGGATCAAGGACACCAGTTAAAAAATTCCTCTGCAAGCCTGTTGAATAAAGTGTACCTGTAGTGACTAAGATATTTTTATTGCCATTACCTTTTTATTGGAGAGGTTTTCCCTCACTTCTTGTACCAGGTGACCAGTGTCACAAAAACAGGAAGTTAGAGGAAAATTCTTACAATGTGAAGAAAGGCAGCAGTAAATACCTGACCGCTTCTAACTCTTCCACCCCCTATCCAAACCAATACAGAGATTGGCCAGGCTTCTACTTGAGGACCAGTTCACACGAGCAGCTGTGCTACAACGCATGGCTGCTGGTGTGCATTGTCTAGCACAATGCTGATGCACCGATCCCGGCCATCACACTGTTTACACTTTTTTTTTTTTTTGTTAGAACTTTATTTCTATGGGCATAGTTCAATGATGTGAACTGAGCCCATATGAAACAAGGTAAATTGCTTTGTCTAGAATTGGTTCATGCGCTGGAAAAAGCACCCAGCACAGCCCCAATGCATCTGGTGTGAATCCAGCCTAAATGTTGGTAAACTAATCTCGGGATTCAATATCTGATATGTAGAGTTGTCCTTCCATTAGCTCTGATTTTTCTTTTCGAGGGTCCCTGACAGTTTCAACATCCAGTCCGTGCAATGAAGCACTTACCTTGCAGAACTGTAAAAATTGGGTTGTGGCCATTCCCATCCTGCCATTGGGTCCTAATGTGATGGATGGTCCGACTGACCAATCCCAGCCACAGTCCAATCATCCCAACACTGGTTGTAATTTTCGTTTTTAAGCATCTTGGAGGTTCTGGGGCTCCTGGGGAGAAAAAACTGACGTTGTGTTTGCTGCCTGCTGTTCCATGTAAGAAGCAGCTTATGGTAACTGCAGGTACACTTTAAAGTCATCTAGAGGTGGAAGCCCCCTTTTAAGCATGGTTGCATTGATTTAATCTCACCCAGTGTAAAGTCACAGACAGCCATAGAAGATTAATCATTGAGGATTCTGATTTGTACTGGGAATGGCGTCTTTTCCATGTAGTTTGTGATTTGTGTGTGATGCCTTTTTTTAGAGATGGTTTTTATATTTCGCTCTGAGGGTTTGAAACTTCATTTTGTAGCTTATCATAGAGGTGAACTAGCTAGTTTAATTTCATATGTTTGTCCATGCGTCCCAATTTAATACTACGTGACAGGATCACCAAGAGGTTTTTTGTTCAGTACATGTTTCATAAATGTCACCTTAACACTACACCGTTTCTTCGCAAACACTTTTTTGATTAGAAATTTCCTTTGATGCATATAGTGCACATCGGCCTTTCCTAACCACCTTTGACACAGAGGAACTTTTGAAAAGACTTTCTGGTGTTGGGGAACCCCTGGTAATATATATCTACTGCTCACGGGTTATTAGAGGGATGGTCACTGGGAAGAATGCTGCTTACATTTGTGTTGATTTATTAGAAATCCGCCCCCTTCCATTCCCTTACAAATGGCTAGAAAGATCATTGATGTGGTTACTTACCCGAGAGGCAGAAATTGCACATTGCTGAAGGGACTCTTTTGCTTCCACAGAACCCTGGTTGAAAAAGGCTGGTCCATACAAACACTAATATTAAGCTTGTAGTCTGGCAAACAAGTGTACATGTCTGTATAGCGGCATGCCTGTAAAAAGACCGATCCCGGAAGCGACAGGTGCTGCGTGTAATTGTGAGCAGCAGCCGGGTTTACGTTATCGGAGGGCGCGGCTGCACACGATCACGCGCTGTCACGCGGACACCTGAACCTGTACATCTGGGCGAGTCTGCACTTGGACGCAGTGTGCATCCAAGTGCGGGCACCCGGATCCGCAGGGATGTGCAGGTTTGGGTGACGGCTTGTAATTGCGTACAGCTCCGTCCTCCCATAGGGAAGAACAGGCTGCTGCTCACAATTACACAATTACCCTTCCGGGATCTGGTTTTACTTTTACGGGCGTGCATGCCATGTGAACGTGTACACCCATCTAAATGAGCATAAAGTGGTAGTAAAACACCAACACAAAATTGTAATAGTGGGCCCCCAGGTGTTTGCCATGTTGTTCTAGTATGCACAGCATATTGGCGCATTATGGCAGACTTGCCTTGCAGGTGATCCCTGATTTCTATGTTTGGCGTCTTCGTCCTCTTGCTGGGATGATGAGTCCTGTGCATGTGCACCGGAGTTACTCCCTCTCGACACAAGACCTAGCTGAGCTTGTAGTCGGAGCTGCAGTGCACACAACTCTGGCCTCCAAGAAGGTACAGCTATGGCGGAAGAGGCTTATAAGAGTCTCATCTGTCCTAAAAACATACCTTTTTAAATAAAAAAAACTACTTTCACCTTTTAAAAGCCGTGTCCATCCGAACTGCCATTTCAGTTGTGTGTGTATAGTGGCCGTTCTTTCACTAGTTCTTTGTATTGCTCTGAGACTCCAGAAACGAGCATTGCCAGCTCTGTCATTCCTCTTGCTGTGTCTTCCGTTATGTGGGGTCCTGGACAGAGATCTCACCTCCCAGAGTCCCTTTAAACATACACTAAGCTCCTGGCCGATTCAGCACTTTAAAAGCCTTTTTGATCTTTTAGAGATTACAGAGATGGTTGTGCTGTGTACACTAGAAACCCCCTTCAAACTGGATTTTCAGGTTTCCTCGTTTGGCCACGTATGTTGTCATATTAGTGGTGATTCTGCTAACTGGTTGGCTCCTGTGTGACTGCTTTGTCTACAAACCCGTTTCAGATTTGTAGAAGCACTTGGTCAGTCAAATAGGTATTTTATTCCAATCAGATCATTACATAATTTAATGTAAGCTAGGCGTTTTAGCAATTATACGATCTTGTAGGTGCTAGAATAATCCCAATTAATTGTAAGCTTGCTGCCCTATTAAAAAAAAAAAAAGATAAATCTCTTATTAAGGTGAATATTATCTTTTATTAGTGATGCACCGATACTTTTCGAGTACCAATGTCGATACTTGGCATTTTCATGAGAACTACAAGGGTTGCAGCGGTTGCAGCTCTGGCTCTGGCGCTCCACCACTGTCCTGAAATCATTTAGAAAAACTGTCACATGACACTAAACAATAATGTATCACTGACTCTCTATTCTAGTCTTGGAGCTGGAAAAGTATCGGTACTTGGTATCGGTGCATCCCTAATCTTTAGCATATGTTAGCGGTAGATTGCAATCCCTTCTTTACTTCTCCAATAAAATAAGTAACTCTTTTATGGCTGAGCATCACGGCATTATTTTGCAGAACAGTTGCGGCATTGACAGCAGCACCGATACACAACGTCTGCCATTCCTGCTGATGTTTGGGCTTCACCTCAAGACGACAAGCTGGGGTGTAGCCCATCATTGTGTTCCTGCATGCATTAGTGCAGGGCTAAGCAACTGCAAATCCCATAATGCATTGCAATGATCTGACAGCCACAGGCATGACTCCCACAGGGAGATGCATGATGGGGTTTTTTAGTTTACCACAACTGGAGTGTTAAGGTTGCCTACCCCTTCTCTATTATGTATGCTGTTCACAACAATGCGATGGGTACGGAAGCGGGATTTGTGATACCGACTGACAGGGGCTCTGCAAGCTACAACATAGGCTGTGGTCTAATTTATATTCCTATATATTCATTTTTGTTTGCAATGAGCACAATTTGATCATGACTACAAAGGGCACAAAATCTATTATGTAGGTATAGAGTATATTCTATGTGATTATTATAATATTTGGTGTTATTTATACTTATTTAATCATTGTGTTTATCCATGGTGCACTTGGTAGATTAAAGCAATGAGCATGAGGGTGACACTGTTTTACTTTGCCTTTTGTTAATATACATTCTGAGTAGGTGGGTGGGCAGTCTGATTTATGAACGGCTGTTATGTTTCACGAATTGACACACGTTTTTGGAGAGAGAGCGCGTAACTTAAGCAGAACTTTGGGCAAATCCAATCTTAACCCTTGCATTGGGGCTACCCCCACACTGCAAGGGTTAACTGCTCGTTTTCTCTAAGGGGCTGAAATAACAGTTTGCTTTGCTTGCTGTGAGACCGGTCCTTTCAGCCTTGCTCCCTCTCTGCTCCAGCGGTCTAAGGTCCTGTGAATCATCACATTCTATACAGTGTATAGGACATGAGGACGCTGAGGGACATACCATCACTGGAGGGAGCAGTGCAGGATCCAGCCAGGGATCATGGTTCTGGGGGGTGTGGGTCTTTGCATGGTGTCCCCAAGACACATAAAATAAAAAGTTGGTAATTTAGTCTGCTTCTGCAAAGCACTGGATATCTGCTTTGGGATGGTCTGTAAATTGTGTACATTGTTCTGGGATGAACATTTGGAATTTAATGCTAGTTTAAGCCTATTGCGGCCCCTTCCCGAACTAGATTCCAGTGGTTTTAAAAGAAATGACTACCTGTGCTCTCTACTCA